CTGTTTGCATACGTTTAAGAGCCTACTTAACCAAACTGGTGAGAAAACCATATTGTAAAACACTTTTTGCCAACAAGTATTTAGCATTTTTTTCTGAGAACTGCAATTCAGTCAAATTAGCCTGGCTTGGATTTCTACTTGAACAACATGGCTGACAATTAGTTAGGCCTTCCGGTACTTTAAAATGATCTGTATGAATGTATCGTACCAATCCTGAAGTCTGATGTGATATCCTGCATCTTATGCATGAGGTTAGTGCCCAGGTTCTTGACGTTCTCCAAATCATCTCTCATGGAGAACGATAGGTCCATCAAGTAGTAGAGGTCGATGGGGTAGTCTTCTGCCCGCTTGAACTTCAACTTAAAGGTCTGGGGCTCACCTGCACGGTAAGAACAGATTTAAAATGTCATTATGACACAAACAGCAACGGTAATCTACCATAGAGCATGGACGTGGACGTATGAACAGTTGAAAAATATACCGGTATTAATTTGTCCTATGGTACAGATTGCTTTAGGCTTAATAATTATCAGCCTACGCCAGCGAACCCTCTAGAAAACGTCAGATCCCATACAGTGTTGTTCATTAGCGAAAGAAATGGTTGAGAGCGACAAAGAGTAGTTTGTCAAACAGACCAGTGCAACTTCCATTATATGGATATGGTTCGGGATTAAAAAGACACACCAAGAGCAGAAAACGGTAATCTGCTAACTATATCAGACGACAGTGGTTGGTTAGGGTGGTAACAGAAGCAATCTGTACGATCACCTCAAAGCAAAAACCCGTTCGGTAATATGAGGAAAGCTAAATAATGCAACCTCCGCAAACAAGTGGAATGTTGAAGAAATAAACGTCGTCAGTGATTTTCCTAAACCTGTTCTTATGACAAAAAGGCTTCCTGTCCTGCTGTACTTATTTAGTGAAGCTAGATTTACTTTTAATTTTATAAATGTTGTTCAGAGATAGAGGAAGTACAAAACCTCTTCAAGATCCTTCTATTAATGCAGTTTTGCTAAATATATGTTCCCAAAATACCCTTAAGTCTGTCTGTTCTAAGGAAAATGTGTTCTAGTAGTACAGCAGTGATTACAGTAATAGCTGATATACAGTTACCATACTAGTGGTTTACCCCTTCAGATACATTACTATAGAAATACTAATATACTGTTTATATAGTTACCGTCCGTCCTTTAAATTCTACCGTGATATACATTTCATACCGCACAGCCCTAGTCTCAATACAATGAAACTGAGACCAGATCTGCCTGACAAAAGTACGGTATGTAATTAAGCAGACAAAAATGATTATTGAAAAACTTTCAACACTCTGAAATATTCTTTCCAAACTAAAGATAACTGACGTTGAACCTCATTTTTAGGTCCCATAAATCCAAGTTTTTACTTCCAAGTGTATAGTCCAGGCTCATTTGCTCAACCTGGCCACGACTGCACTTCCTATTGTGGACGTGAATGTCTAGTACGCTATGGCACACTATACTCTTATTTGAATACGGGCCGCTAATTTTAGGTACCTGTTGCTTCTTTATACAATTTTAAGTCAAACATACAAACAGGTTAGTTATAGGACATTTACCAGATCGGAGGTTCAGTTGGAGTTTCTGCGGCTGGATCTGAGTGATTTGCTTATCAGCCATGTTCTTGGTGCGGTTGGTGACGGGCCTGTCCTCGATTACTATGTAGCTGCCCCGTGGGTTCTCGATCATGGCCTTGGCACAGCCCTTCTTGATCAGAGCATCCAGCTCATCACAGCGAGCTGACTTAGACTCTCCCTGCTTTAGGAAGTCCTGTATGGACAACAAAAACGCAACAACCCTCAGTTTAAGGTGTATTTGAATTCCCAACAACCAAACGAGCAGCGATAGACCACGAGAACATACTAAACGGATTGTCCTTTGCCTTGCCAGGGGCTCGGTTCGCCCTGCCAGGGGCTCGGTTCGCCCTGCCAGGGGCTCGGTTCGCCCTGCCAGGGGCTCGGTTCGCCCTGCCAGGGGCTCGGTTCGCCCTGCCAGGGGCTCGGTTCGCCCTGCCAGGGGCTCGGTTCGCCCTGCCAGGGGCTCGGTTCGCCCTGCCAGGGGCTCGGTTCGCCCTGCCAGGGGCTCGGTTCGCCCTGCCAGGGGCTCGGTTCGCCCTGCCAGGGGCTCGGTTCGCCCTGCCAGGGGCTCGGTTCGCCCTGCCAGGGGCTCGGTTCGCCCTGCCAGGGGCTCGGTTCGCCCTGCCAGGGGCTCGGTTCGCCCTGCCAGGGGCTCGGTTCGCCCTGCCAGGGGCTCGGTTCGCCTTGCCACCCGTGCAGTTGCACTATGCCAATGTTATTGCCCACTAAGCTGTTGGCTGTCAATAACATATGCATTGTGATTCTCATGATTCCCTATATATCTACAGGATATCTACAGGAGTTCAGTAGTGTTATTTCATCCAGATTATTCTATAGCAGGGATAACATTGCCTGATTCAACTGTTATGAGAACATGTTGCAGGAAATCCGTTCCTAAAAAAGGAATAGAGCATACCGCGGAAACCCGAACCCAGGCAAGATCTGACAGGAAGTGTTTGGCTAAGTGCCTCTTTTCTGGGACTAAAAGATAACTGCATGACCATGAACTGAGTAGCCAATTCCCCCCACAAACATTGTCAAAACTTACCGGGTCAGTACACCATCCACATTTCTCTGCAACCTGGATACATTCACCACACGACTGTGCATTGGCCTTTATACAATCACTGCCCTCTGAAAAAAGAAGAGTACTTCAAGATCACATTCAAGACTGTTGCAAAGGGGCAGCATACAATAAGCCTGTGTTTGCATTGTCAACATCACCTTTTACGCTTGGCCATTGAATTTCCTCCAGTCTATTATTCAAATGAAAGCCTTGCAGTCTCAGGACCTTTCGATATTAAATACACCAAACGGGCACACAGATGCGTAACCAAAAAAAGTTAGTGTGAATGAAATATCCTTACCTTGCTGGGCTTGGCAGAAATATAGGATCCCTAACAATAGGGTTATAGAAAGCAGCCTTTGCTCCATCTGAGAACGAGACAAAAACAGTGGTAAATTCAATCTACTGGGCATGCTGTGAGTGAAGCACTGACGCATTTCAATCTCGAACTCGTTCTCACGGATACTAATTGTTTACACTTGGAAATCACACAATGTACATTGTTCCTGCAGCCTAATCACACAGTCCGGCATAAATACAATTGAACACTGTGGTTCAAATGACTGTGATTGCAGTTTATAGACCAGCCTAATAGTCACAGGATATTACAAAGTGCCTATATCACATTCGGCATGACACGTCCCTGGTCAAAAGTAGTTGTACCAAGTAGAGAAAAGCCTGCCATACAAACAGCATTCCAGTGCTACCAAACAAAGAGCAGCTAATGGAGATGTGTGAGTTGCCTACTCCCATGTTTGGTCAGGAAGCTCCATGCCTTCTCCAAGCCCCACCCCCCTCAGTGACACATTTCCTCTGACGGCCTATAAAGTCCTCCCATTAAAACAATGATGTCATGCTCTTGCCTTCTCATCACTCCTTTAGCTATGGAGAAGACTCATCATGACATAATAGAGAAAGACAGAGCTGGCAACAAAGCCTGGTTGGTTAGATGGTCCAACAGCTCAAATAGCCTTATTGGGTGTATAACACTTCTCCTGACAGAGAGTTTGAAAATATGTCGCCCCTATACCCACACTGAAACTATCAAATGAACACTGGAAATTCATCATAACAGGCTAATTGCCTGTTCACAGTCTTCTTAATATTAAAACTCTATACTGTAGTTGTGTACATAAACACGTACATCCTGACTACCTTAGTGAAGCTCTGAATGAACTGAAAAGCGTATAAAAAAGAACCACATCCTGTCAGGGGTCAAGAAGGGTCATTTCAAATTCAAAGAAAGCCTAGAGGGCTTCAGCGGAAACCAGAGAAGACATCAAAATCCTCATGCTTTCACCAGTCTTCAAACTACCTTCAGTTCTCCAAACCATTTTTGGATTATCCCAGTTAAACAAAGTACCAAACACAAGTTAACCGATTTATAAAGTGGGAGTTTTAAACAAAAACAAAGTGCCCCCACGTCAGTTCATGAGGGATTGGGCTGGGAAAATGGGAATGCTCAGATTTTCCAAGCATTGATATTGCCAGATAAAAAATCAGCAACTGGTTTTGTGAGCATTACTGATTTTGACGGCTAAAGTGAATGTCCCCTACATATTCATTTTAGATGACATGTAGTTTAACTTTAAAAATATAGCATTATTGGTACTAAATATTCCGCTTCAAATGTTGGTAGTTGGCAATGTTCAATTTCAGCCTTAGCCTAATATAAAGGTGTAATGTTACCTAAATGTAAACTAACTAACTAAAGTAATCAAACACACATTGCAGTGAGGTTAATAATTAAGTGTCTTCACATCATATGCTGAATTGTTATTGGGCACAATCCAATGAATGCTCATTAAGGGAACATAGTACCCCAGATAGCACGTATCCAAATCATAGACCTGAATCTAGCATTACTATGATGGCCAGTGAAAATTATATTATATTTAATATTATATAAATGTAGAGCCAAAATATTTTGGCTGTCCTACCAGCAATCTACTTAAATTCAGTCGGCTGCATTTAAACCCATGCTGCAATGAAACTATATCACTTATAGTTTAAGCATTTCAGGTCATAATTCATAGATTTTATAATTCATAATTCATACTTTTACCAGTGCTACTTTTACCAGGGTCAATGTCAAAAGAAGTGCACAGAGCTCCTTTTGGGACACAGATATTATGCATTCTAGACAAACTCTCTGAATAGAATAGACCAATATTGTCAGTTGTACAACTGAATGCCTTCAACTGAAATGTGTTCTCTGCATTTTACCCAACCCTGAGGTGCAGGGGGCAGCCCTAATCAGTTACCTGATTTGACTTCCACGTCACGGCGCCCGGGGAGCATTCTTTTTAGGGTTAATTGTCTTGCTCAAGGACAGATTAGAACCAGGGACCTTCCAGACCCAAGCCCTAGTCCCTAACCACTAGGCCACCTGAGAAGCTCAGATCGACCCGTTGGAGAGTGGAGATATCGCTGATGAAACAGGTTCTGGAAAACCAAACCACCGACTTTAACCTCTGGAACTGTCAAAAGCTGATACTGCCCCACAGATCGTCATAGTTGGACGGCCAGGATCGGCAACAGCCCGGATCAGCCGGCACATGATTTGTTTGTGCCCTCAAAGATCTCTCCCGACCGTCTAAGGCAGGGATGTCAAACCGGTTCCACGGGGGGCCTAGTGTATGCAGGTTTTTGGGTTTTCATTTTAATTGGTTCCCAGTTCAGACCTAAACAACCAGTAGAGGGTAGAACCTTACCAATTAGTGACCTAATTAATCAATCAAGAACAAGGTGACAGCAAAGACCTGTAGACACTCGGCCCTCCATGGAACCGGTTTGACACCTGTGGACTAAGGGTTGAATTTATTCATCTTCCAACGACACTGATAAAAATGCCTGGTAAAACAGGTATGGGCACAATTCCTTTTTCACAGAAGGCCACCCACACACACATACACACTATAGATTGACATTATTCATTGATAGGTAATTTCCGTTAGCCTTTCAGGTCTTGTATTACTTTGTGGACGTCTGGGGAAAAAAGGAGAATTCAAAACCCCAGTAACAGATAGCTGCATGGCATAGGCATGCAGCTTGGGATTTTTTTGTTTCAGACTGATTCCACATACGGTGTTTAATCAAGAATGACAGACAAAACCCCACTAGTTGAAGGCACTTCAGGTTGCATCTGAATACTGTCATATTCACAATCGATTCCATAAGATCTGTGTGTAATATTTTAATTTGGGTTGTTTATGATGTGGAGAATAAAGTGTTTGATGTGTAGCTGAGAGAACAAATTGGGTTAATCAGGGTATTTGGTAAAACTGTCATGACCTATTTGAAACTAAGATGGAAGGATCTTTCATGTTTTTAGAAGGTTTGTATTTTTGTTAGTATTTTTGTTTTTACATTGCCTTGAAGAGAGGATTTGAAAACGCATTACACTGAAAAGGTAAAGTGAGGAACTCTAATAAATCTGCCAAAAGAGTTAACTATTAGAACTTGTGATAAGGCACAGCTAGTGAAGCTTTCATAGCGCAGGTGTACTTGTGTTCCACACCAATCAGGCCCAGGACGACTTCCGCCAGTCGGGACCCAGAGGTTTTAAGACGCATATTGATTACATACTTATTAATCCTAAGTTTGAGTCCTTTATTATTTCAAGCATGGTTATTCCGTGCATTGACAGCTTGAAATACATTTCCAAATCACTGAGAGGTCTCTGAGAGGTGGCTGAGAGAGTAGCCAGCTGATGGGCTGGCCGTGGGCAGATTCAGGGCATACGCTGGCGGTTCACTGAAATCTCAACCACCTGACATTACTGCCCCTCTCCCTGCTTTGTAGATGTTTGGTGACGTTCTCCTGAGGAACGTACATGTAATGAAGAAGAAAAAGATCAACAGATAAAATTATGTTCAGTCGGGGTGTAATTGATTTTTGCTGTTTTTATGGTAGTGTTTTAGTTGGTGGTTGGAAGTGAAGAGTTGTGTGTTAAAAATGCCCAAAAAAATAAAAATGACAAAAAAGAAGGGTGCCATCCACAGAAAAAGCGTTAAATATAGGCTATGCAAATATTTGAAATAATTGAATGTTATTTATAATGTTATTCTTCATAATATTTAAGTCAATGTACAATTGATGAAAACGCAGAGACTAATGATTTGTCACAAAAATGTCAGCGCGCAAATCTGCGTAAGAGTGCTTTTCAAATTCCAGATAAGTAAACATTAGTGAATGTCAGAATCTTCGTGGAAACTGCATAAGTGGGTTTTAAGAACAAATTTCTTCTTAAGAACGGTTGAAGAATATGGCCCAATAATGTTTATGGCAATCTTTTAAACCACCTAAAAGTGGATTCGGTTTGTACCTTGGGCCTAAAGCCTGAATCCCGTTATAAGACACAGGTACATATAAAGTATATCATCCGATATGATTAGAGGCATCTTTTCTATAGGGGCAGGCACCTTGTTCCAAATGGCACTACCGGTATATTTTTGGTAGTGTGCACAAGTTCTCACTAAGTTCCAGTCTAAAAAGTAGTGCACCATAAAAATCTGAGTTCCATATGGTTGCCGGGCTACAGTCTACATTCAGGAAAGGCCCTTCCTTTAGGTTGGGAAACCATGACACAATAGCAAGGAGACAGATTAGTGAATAACCATTTTTCACATCAGTCATGGGAAGCCGTCAGCTAAATCAGTTTAGGAATGACAAAATGGCTTTTCTCTTCAAATTTCCATAAGAGTCAGCCTGAAAAATGCCAAACCCCTGACACCTGAGATCAGCAGCACATGTGTTTATTGCAAATCCTACAATTGTAAAAAAAAAAGGCAGTTAATATCTACTGGAATATTCATTTTTTACTTCTTTGCTTCTCCGAACACAGAATAAATGCTGCTGAGATGAGCTTCAATGTTCGGTATTAAAACTGTAACTAACAGAAAGTGGACAAACCAAAGGATAAAAGGATTTCTGGGAATCTGTGACGATGTTGTTACTTGGGAGCTGTGAACGGTGCAATCTGTCACTGCCTGTTTTAAGAGCACAATATTTACATAAGAAATAACACCGGCAACTCATGGCTTTGTATGGTCAGGTTCCACAGCCGGGAGACTGAAACCAATCCAACGGTTGCAGTTGGCCGATTAAGCCGTTACAGATTGCAACACATGAGGTTTACTGAGGAATAGCAGGTAAAGATTTTGACCTTCAGAGCATTGAGCAGATTTTGAAGCAGTGCATTAAAGTTACGTAATAAGTAATGGCTACAAAAACTACTGGCTCCTGCCAAAAGAAAAACACACTGTTCAAAACCCAAATTCATCTTAGCGTGGTGTCTGGATGCGAGACCATGAAGGTTCCTCCTCGGAAATTGTCGAGGTGTCCATGAGCAAGACACCTAACCCCAGCTGCTCCTGGCGAGCCTGCAGTCGCCTTGCATGGTAGACGCGGTCGTCAGTGTATGAATGAGTGAATGAATGGGTGAATGTGATGCAGGATCTGTAAAGCGCTTTGGATAAAAGCGCAATATAAAAAGCGCAGCATTTAAGGACAATTCTTACAACACCAATTATTTAATAATTTACATACTAATCCTAAAGTCATAACATGTGTAATGGGCTTACAGGTAAGACACGCTCTACTAGCTAATAGTTGGTTAGTACAACACCCCTCACTTCATCGGTAGCAGTACCAGATGAAAGTAAGCAGAGAACGACAGGGATGAAGATGTATGAATCATCAGGCTATCCTGACAGAAAGGCTCTATATACTATTTCACCAAAGTTCATTACACTGAAGAAATTGTTTCTTTAGGTCTAAAATCCACCCTTGCAAGACTACTTGAGGTGAGGTAAACACACACCCCTACCCCCGCCATTTGTGGTCTACAGCTTAGCCTCTGCGTCCCCAGTTGCAGGAGGTAATTGGTCGTGTGGAAGAGCACGCAGGGGAGATTTTATTTACAGCCCAGTTGTAGAGAAGCTCAGGGGCAGAAGCATGCACTCTCTTGTAATGTAAATTCACCAGACATTCCAATTCAATTCTAGTAGTTTGGTGAAGAGAATGGGATCCTCATGTGCGTATTAGCCAAGTCTACAGGCTCCGCCCACAGAGTGACATCATGTAAACAGAGTTTGGCGTATCTGCACGACAACAAATGTTTAAAACGTATAAAAGGGCTTTTTTCTTTTTCAAAGACAAGCCCTAGATGAAGGCGAGGCTGGCATACTAAATGAACCACGGTAGGTTCAGTCCGAAGTCAGACAACTCTATTGTACTAAATGTGTCATTATCTCTGCTTGTCCAGCCTACTGAAACAAGCAAGCTCTGACTGACTGCCATATTAAAAGGTCTCGCCTAGATGTATGAATGCTGAAAAACTGTAAACTACTTCCATTCAAGTAATCAAGCAAAACCTTAGAAGTTAGGTTGGACAGTTAACCCAAAACAAATGTGCAGTGAATCGGTTGCACAGCGGAAGCCAGAGGAAATGCAAACTCAACACCACTTAAAGCATTAAACACACGTAGGACGTCTGTTTGCTCAAATGGCAGCAGAAGATAAGGGAGTGTTTTGAAGTCCTCGGTAATAATTAACATTGGGAGGGGAGCGAGGTAAAATACTGTGCACCTACCCACATTGTTGTCAGTCGGTTGCATTTGTGGCCATGTGACCAATTGTACGGTACTAGTAAAACCTGCAGTGCACCGAGCTGCATCCTGTCTGTGCTTAAATGGCTCAGAGCAACAGAAGTAGAGGCGACCGCACCTTCACTCTTTCTCACTCACCTCGCCTCTGTGTTGTGTTGTCACTTCAAAAAAGAATTGCTGGTTAACCATGTGAAACCTGCCGTTCTTAATAGACCACCTTGGGCACCACACGAACAGGGTGGAGAGGTGGGGGCGTACCAAACCAGTGAAACGCGGGGGAGGCTGGTTACATGGGTTGTTGTGGGGTACCACCCGACACATACAACGAGCGAATGGCTGCCTGGCTTTTCACATTGGTGTTACTTTGTGCTAAGCTAACAGACTGGTTGTCCTTGGATTAGGGCTGGGCTGCAGGGCCAACGCTTCCACTCTCCCACATACCTGTATGCGGAGGTCACAGTCCAATCCCTCCCCTCCCATTTCCCTGTCTATTTGTCCTCCGAATAGCAGGACGGGGACTGAATCCATTTCCTTGCTCCACTGCTGTGTAGGCCGCTCTTTTTTAAAAGCGATGTGTGGATGGATCAGGAAGAGCATTAGGTAGTGTGGCAGAAAGCCGGGGAACAAGGAGGAAACCCAGCCTAAACAGACTCGCTCCAGCGTTTTCACAAGAAGCATTCCCAGAGCAACACGGCACCAGGCTTGCAAATGGTACAAATGACAGCTGCTAGAAGGGGCCCAGGACATTATTCACAGTTATCTAAAGGGGTCATCTGATCTCATA